TCACATGTTCAGTCTATGTTTCCTCAGTATCTTTCTGCAGAACTACATTTCTCTTGCTTCAAGTCCTCTTTTTCTCTTTGAGAAGATCGTTCAACACATACAGGAGGACAGATATCATGTAGCATGTTAGTACCTTGTTTCTAGTGAAATCTTTCTATTTTTTTAGTACTCTGCTTAGCTTTTGGAATGCTTCCTTGGATATCTCAATTTGGATTTCAGTGTCACACTTTCCGTTCTATGTTAAAATTCCTCCCTGATATTTAAATTTCCACACTTTTTTGATTATTCGATTTGCAATCCACACTTTGGGATCATCCTTTTGCCAACAACCTTGCATTCTGTCTTCCTGCAGTTGATGTTTAATCCTTTCTCCTCACTTTTCTTCACTACCTTCTGTAGGAGTTTTTGTAGCTTTCTTTTTGTGTCATCTGCATACCTCATGTTGTTAAGATTGTGGTCGTCATTAATGAATCCCGGTAGGACTTCTACTTCTCTCAGAACCACCTCACTATAAAGGTTGAATAAGTCTGGCGAGAAGACACATCCTTGTCTTACACTCCTTTCTATTTTTGTATATCTGCTGAACTCATTTTCTATCTGTATGCAGACAGTTTGCTGCCAGTAGAGATTCTTGAATATTCTAATATATTAAATGCTTGCCTGAAAATTTTGCACATATAACTAAGTGTTCTTTTTTACTGATGTGCAGTGGCTAGCAAAATTGTGCTGCAGATCATTTGAAATAATTTCAATCCTTAGTGAATACATGAGAATTTTAGTTTATGGTATGAATAACTTAATCAATTTCATCTCTCCCTCTAATTAAATAATCAAATACAAAAGCTACAGTACTTGACATTTCATAAAAGAAATATAACCTTAGGAAAAATTTTGATAAAACTTCCATGACATATATTATGCAGGTATAAAAATATGGAATTTTCTTCTTCATTTCTGTTGGATTAAGATTAAATTTTTAACAGATTATTCAAACAAATTAATTGGAGTGGAAAGTTGACTCTCTGCTGTATGTTTTGTATACAAAATGTTTGCATAATTCCCTGTTTTTTTTTTTTTGTTTTTGTCTCTTAAAATGAAGGTTATTTCCTTCACTATGGTTGTGTATCAGTTCAACAAACATATGGAACTGCTGCGACTTCACTGATGCTGAATTTGCTACAAAAAAAAAAAAAAAAAATCTACCAGCCCACATTTGTGCTAAATTTGGCTTTATTCTACAAATATTTGAGCTCTAGGGACATCTGAAAATAAAACAAATATGCTTTTTGGATATCCTGATTGACAACTCTTGGAGATGTTTGGCATTTTTTCTTCAGAAGTGCTACCTCCCAAAATTCTTGTATGGCAGGCAAACAAATGTCTATAAGCTCTGTTCAATGTTAGCTTTTAGTTCAATTTCATTCACAGCAGTTTGGGATTTTCTAAAAAAACTACTGGCATTCTTTTATTTTATTCATGAATTGTGCTTTTATGATATTAAAAGAAAAATATTTGAGAACATGATGCACCATTGTATAATACTTGATTAATTTTCTATGGCTTATCAACACTTTGCAGGTTATTTAAAGCCAGAAAATATTTTTAGATTATAAGAATTTTATTTTTTGTTGATAATAAAGGTTTTGGGATGGATACAAGTTTTACTAATTAACCCATAGTTGGGAGGAGAAGAGGTGGATTCATACCTTACCTAAGGGTATTAGCATGTAAGTGAATATAACAAACCCAACTGGAAATGAATCTCAACTTTCTGATTAACAATCTCAAGCCATTATCCATTATATCCCCTGCAAATCAAAGCCTATAGCATTTGGTATTTCTAAGTGGTCAACCATCTTGGTATTGACTATGCTCAATGTTGCTTAACTTTGGTGGTCGTATGGGCTGTAAGCCATTGTATGATAAATTAATTTTGATATGTTTATCACAATCTTCATCTGGAGCCTTTTTTGGACTTCCTCAAGTTTAAAATTCATCTGCCTGGAGTCTTTTCTCTAAAATCATTTGGAGTTATAAATATTAGTATCAACAAAAAGAGATCTGCAAAATACAGCAGAAAATCATTTTTGATATAAGCATTTGTCAAAAATATCTAAACTTCTCAATTTCTGCTGCAGTGCAAGCATCATATGAACCTTGCATATTGCATACATTGTATATGCAAAATTGTTTATTATGCCCTGTGTATATGCAGAATAGTAAAAATATTTATGTTTTACTGCAGATGTTCCAATCAAATATTTCTTGTTTATGTAAGCACAAGCATTTATTCACTGTAGTTAAGGAATTTCAAATGTATGTAAATGGGTGACTGCTTGGGAAAACCAGGTGTTGTAAGCTTGGATGTGCAGGTGGCGTATAATGGATAACAGGTCAGAATTGGAAATCGGTTCCAAGTTCAAGTTGGATTCGTTATATTCACTTACGCAAAATGGTATGAATCCACCTCTTCTCACCCCAGCTATGGGTTAATTAGTAAGACTTGTATCAGTAAAATCCTTATTATCAGAAAAATAGTCTTAAAATCTGAAAATATTTTCTGGCTTTAAATAACCAGCAAAAGGTTGGTTAGCAGTAAAAAACAAACCAATCAATAAATCAATCTGACTGCAATGCAACTGCCAACTTTTGTGGGATGTTGAATTGTTCTTCTGAATGTACATTATCTTGAGAAAATCACCCCAAGTTGAAACCTTAGTTTTCTGCTTTTGCATGGATGCTAATCAATTTCATTTTGTACCTTTTAAGGTATGAATCCACCGATTCTTCCCCCAGCTATGGGTTAATTAGTAGGACTTGTGTAATATCAGAACAACTCTAAGTAGAAAGCTTTATTTGGCTAATTTTGCATTGGCCCTGAAAACATTTATTTTATTATAGTGGATAGTTATAAGTTAAAGGGGAGATGGGATGTGCTTATTTTATTACCACAACTTTTACCAATAAGCCATTATTATCTCCAAAAAAGTCTTACCACTTAAAATATTTTCTGGCTCATTCTTGTCTATTAGAGCAGCTAACCAATCCTTGGTACAAATACCTGCTCAAGCACATTTGTGTTTGTTCAACACCTACAGAACCCACCATAATTTGCAAAATATCAACAATTACGAAAAATTTCTCAGAGTTAACCTGTAGAAAAAGACAATATTTATAAATGTAAAAGACAATAGGAAAACTGGAATATTAGCAGATGCATTTCATCCAATGTGGATTTTTTTCAAGGTAAAAATGATTAAAAAAAATTAGTTACTTTGTTTTAATAAATTCATTTCATTTTTTCCTTGAAATATTCCATATTGAACAAAACATATCAGCTGATATTACAGTTTTCCTATTGTCTTTTCCATTTATAAATCAACAAGTATCTATACTGTTAAGGGGTCCACGCCTTTTTATACAAGTGGACTCGCTCAGCGTGTACTTGTACTGCTGCTGGTGAATAACCGGGTGTGAGAGTGTGAGGTAACCACTTTGTAGGAGTCACAGTTGCGAGCATGTAAACTCAGAAGGAAGTCATACTTCGATACTGAATTTCCCAGATTGTATATATATTATTATTGCTACTAACCGCATTACTAACCGTATTACCAATTGTATTATTACGTCAATACATTTATTTGCTATATTTCATTCCTGCATTTGGCATTCATTTGAGACCGGATTTCATCCCGGAATCCACAACATATACGCACAGACATCTCCAAAAGTTTTGCTGGATTTGTCAGTAACTTCCAGAGAAAATGATTTCTTATATCAGTTCTTGATTATAAGCACATCTGAAATAGTATATATTAGTTATATATCCTGTTTTTCTTGTTAATTTTGCACAAATTATTGAACATTATCTTCAGTAGTTTACTCCTACAAAGATCCTGTTTTAATATAAAAAAAGCTCAAGCTGCCTGCTACATTGCTGGCTACCAATACAATTTTAATAAGAACAAAGAAAGAGTGGAGATAATTTCCAGAAAAGGAAAGAAAGATATGCATTTAAGGACTGAAATCACATTTAATTATTTTTAAATCCAGCCTAAGATGTGCCAAATGAAAATAATATTTGTCTATATTTCTGAGATGAGGTATTGTAATTATTTGCACTATTTACATCGTTTGGACTGTTGTCCACATCTTTATTGCCATATTCACAATGTTTCAGCCTTTGTATGCTCAAACATTCTTTAGGTAATATGCATTGCAAGTTGATATAAGAGAACATTACTGGATAATATGAAAACTTAAGGAATCTATGCATATGCTTGGCCACAAAAATCTAAGTGGGCCAAGCATAGACATGAATACAATATGGGAACCAGTAATACAAAGAGTTAGAGAAGAACAACAATAACAGAAATTGTAATATGAGCTCTGGTAAAAAATAAGTCCCAAAAATTCACTCACAGTTCATAAGTTGTTGATTGAGTAATCCAAAAAGTAACTTGACCCAAACAGTTGTAAGTTCAGTAAAAACAAAATCTTGGAGAGTTGAGTTACTAAAGGAAATTAACTGATACTGAGATATCCAAAAGATACTAAATTGACTAAATAAAAGTTTAGTATGAAATTCCAATGTATATCATTTGAAGAAACTCAAAGCTTACAATGGCCGAAATGACATGACAATAAAGAGGACAACAGTCTGAACAATGTAAATAGTGTAAATAAAAACAATTTCGTTTTCAAAAGAAGAATTAAATTGTGATCATTCCCCAATTCCTCCAAAAACATAAACTTTTTATCTTTTACTATCCAGTAGAGGTAAAGTTCTTAACAAATTCCCAGAGTACAAGGTATGTGATTTGAAACTTTTATCTAAAATAGGCAGCCAACACTATTCAGTTAAATTATGTTTGATTTTATCTTGGGTCCAGGAAATTTAAAGCAACATTTCATTGAAGTGTTTAGAAGATTCTGTGTTTTTATTATTATTATTATTTAGTGTAGAATTTGAAATGGTGGGGGTTATTTTTTGGGTAAAGTGAAAATAGTAGAAAATTCAGTCTCTTTTTCTATTCATTCCTGCCTGTGTCTCTCTCTTTTTTCATTCCAGTCTATGCCTTTTTCACTGTTCTTTCTGGTCTGTTTTTTTCTCTGTTCATTGTGGTCTGTGTCTCTTTTCTCTGTCCATTCCAGTTTATGCCTTTTTCTCTTTTTTATTCTAGTCTGTGTCTTTTTTTCTCTGTTTTTGGTCTGTTCTTTTTTCTGTTCATTGTGGTCTGTGTCTTTTTCTCTGTTCATTGTGGTCTGTGTCTTTTTCTCTGTTCATTGTGGTCTGTGTCTTTTTCTCTGTTCATTGTGGTCTGTGTCTCTTTTCTCTGTCCATTCCAGTTTATGCCTTTTTCTCTTTTTATTCTAGTCTGTGTCTTTTTCTCTGTTCTCTCTGTTCTTTTCTCTGTTCATTGTGGTTTCTTTTTCTGTTCATTGTGGTCTGTGTCTTTTCTCTCTCATTCTGGTCTGTGTCTCTTTCTCTGTCCATTCCAGTTTATGCTTTTTTTTCTAGTCTGTGTCTTTTTCTGTTCATTGTGGTCTGTGTCTTTTTCTCTGTTCATTGTGGTCTGTCTTTTCTCTGTTCATTGTGGTCTGTGTCTCTTTTCTGTCTCAGTTTATGCCTTTTTTCTTTTTTATTCTAGTCTGTGTCTTTTCTCTGTTCATGGTCTGTGTCTTTTTCTCTGTTCATTGTGGTCTGTGTCTTTTTCTCTGTTCATTGTGGTCTGTGTCTTTTTCTCTGTTCATTGTGGTCTGTGTCTCTTTTCTCTGTCCATTCCAGTTTATGCCTTTTTCTCTTTTTATTCTAGTCTGTGTCTTTTTCTCTGTTCATTGTGGTCTGTGTCTTTTTCTCTGTTCATTGTGGTCTGTGTCTTTTTCTCTGTTCAGTCTGTCTTTTCTCTGTCCATTCCAGTTTATGCCTTTTTCTCTTTTTATTCTAGTCTGTGTCTTTTTCTCTGTTCATTGTGATCTGTGTCTTTTTCTCTGTTCATTGTGGTCTGTGTCTTTTTCTCTGTTCATTGTGGTCTGTGTCTTTTTCTCTGTTCATTGTGGTCTGTGTCTCTTTTTTCTCTGTCCATTCAGTTTATGCCTTTTCTCTTTTTTATTCTAGTCTGTGTCTTTTCTCTGTTCATTGTGGTCTGTGTCCAGTCTGTTCATTGTTGTCTTTTCTCTGTTCATTGTGGTCTGTGTCTCTTTCTCTGTCCATTCCAGTTTATGCCTTTTTCTTTTTTATTCTAGTCTGTGTCTTTTCTCTGTTCATTCATTCTGTGTCTTTTTCTCTGTTCATTGTGGTCTGTCTTTTTTCTCTGTTCATTGTGGTCTGTGTCTTTTTCTCTGTTCATTGTGGTCTGTGTCTCTTTTCTCTGTCCATTCCAGTTTATGCCTTTTTCTCTTTTTATTCCAGTCTGTGTCTCTTCTCTCTGTTCATTCCTGTCTGGGTTTCATTCCTATCAATCTGTCTCTGTCACATTCTTACCAGTCTGTCTCTGTCTCATTCTTACCAGTCTGTCTCTGTCTCATTCCTACCAGTCTGTCTTTGTCTCATTCCTACCAGTCTGTCTTTGTCTCATTCCTACCAGTCTGTCTTTGTCTCATTCCTACCGTCTGTCTCTGTCTCATTCCTACCAGTCTGTCTCTGTCTCATTCCCCGTCTGTCTCTGTCCTACCAGTCTGTCTCTGTCTCATTCCTACCAGTCTGTCTCTGTCTCATTCAGTCTGTCTCTGTCTCATTCCTACCAGTCTGTCTCTGTCTCATTCCTACCCGTCTGTCTCTGTCTCATTCCTACCAGTCTGTCTCTGTCTCATTCCTACCAGTCTGTCTCTGTCTCATTCCTACCCGTCTGTCTTCTCATTCTCATTCTCTGTCTCATTCCTACCAGTCTGTCTCTGTCTCATTCCTACCAGTCTGTCTCTGTCTCATTCCTACCCGTCTGTCTCTGTCTCATTCCTACCAGTCTGTCTCTGTCTCATTCCTACCAGTCTGTCTCTGTCTCATTCCTACCAGTCTGTCTCTGTCTCATTCCTACCAGTCTGTCTCTGTCTCATTCCTACCAGTCTGTCTCTGTCTCATTCCTACCCGTCTGTCTCTGTCTCATTCCTACCCGTCTGTCTCTGTCTCATTCCTACCAGTCTGTCTCTGTCTCATTCCTACCCGTCTGTCTCTGTCTCATTCCTACCCATCTGTCTCTGTCTCATTCCTACCCGTCTGTCTCTGTCTCATTCCTACCCGTCTGTCTCTGTCTCATTCCTACCAGTCTGTCTCTGTCTCATTCCTACCAGTCTGTCTCTGTCTCATTCCTACCCGTCTGTCTCTGTCTCATTCCTACCAGTCTGTCTCTGTCTCATTCCTACCAGTCTGTCTTTGTCTCATTCCTATCAATCTGTATTGTACCTATTTGTCTGTTGCTATTCATGTCTATTTCTATCTGTCATAATCTGTTCTTGTCTCTGTTTCTTAGCTAAACATAAGCTCTCTATTTCTGTACTTGTTCATCAAACTCATTTTAGTCCAGCTCATGTTCCTCTCAGGCTGCTTATATCTACCTTGATCTCAGTCTGTTCATATATCTGTCTCAGTCTCTTAATATTTTATGGTAGTTATTAGCCATCTCTTGAATTTATAAGTTTAACAGTGCTGAGCAAAATCTTTTTTCTGTTTTTCTCAAAGTAATTAAAAGGCAGTCATTGTTGTTTTTTCACACATTAATATTGAAAACAAAGGAGAGAGCATTCACATTCATTATGATCAGTTTGCAACCTGTTGGTTTTTTTTGTACAAAATGTTTTTTTTTTAAATTAGTGCAAATTAACTTTCAACCAAAAAGCTTTTTCTCTTCTATTAATCTCTTTAATCAATGATAGTTTTAATAAATTAACCTATAATTAAAAAAAAAAATCTACTGGCAATGTTACAATGAAAATGTACCTATGTACTGCTGCTCTTTGTCCAAATATTATTGTGAAGAAAAATAGACAAATGTATAAGTGTGTAGTGAAGCTTTATTCAATACAATTTGACTACTGTCCATAATTGAGGTTCAGCCATTTCTTTTATAGTCGAGTAGTCCAAGGGGGAAACAACTAAGTTACCTTCCACCACAATTATATAAACAAATCAGTTTTTCTCCCTAAGATAAAATTTGAAGGAAATGATACTAAAATAGATACTAGTTAAGAATCTTAAAATTTTAAATTAAATTTTATACTTTGCTAAATGCCTAAATATTCTATAATCCTAAATTATATTTTTAATTGTGAGAATTTATTATTGGTTGTTTTCATCAGCTATAAACACTTTAGACGTCTCACCAAAGCTTTCATTCATTCACTTATTTTCATTTTTTTTCCCTATGTTTAATCACTATATTTACATTTTGTAACAAAGAATCAAGTCAAACCAATAAGAGACTCTGAGTTGGTTGTGTGTGGTGCAGTAAACACCAGAAGTTATGTCCTCTTTCACAATTGGCTGTTGAGAAAGAACATTCTACTTACAGCAGGTGGCACTGACAATTTGCATGTGAATAATACTGGGGAGGCATTAGCCAATAGTCAGTGTAGGGAAATCTATCTAACCCCATTTTTTCTCACTCGAGAAGAGCGCTCTTGACATGCAGAGAACCAAACAAGACAAACACATATTTTATCATATTTCCTACTTTTTGATTTGTTTATAGGCATATTTTTAAATTAACTAAGGTTTGTTCAATGTATAAACCTTAAGTGACCATTGTTGGTGTGGAACAAAATAATATGCCTGAGCAGGTGACTGCAACATAGATTGGCTAGCTGTACTAGCAGATGGATGAGCTCAGGTACAAGTAGCTGTGTATTATTTATTACTATGTATCTTTGTAAATAGCTATGCAACTGTATATGCATTTGTATATATACTTATATATTCAAGCCAGTAAGCCAACATTGTATGCTTGTATATGTACATGCGCACTTGTTATATAATTAAATTGAGTAGTAGAAAGACTGACTAACCTTCTCAACACTTATTATTGAAACATAGACATATCCATCTGCTATGAGTAGATTGTCTTGCCATGGAAAACAGGCAAAAAGTGGGTTGCAAATGTGTAACACTTTACAGTGATATGTTTGTTGCACTGAAATACTGCATTATCAGTCCATGTGGTTATGTGATTAAACTTTTCTTGACTCATCTTTTTTTTCCCAGTATTTTCCTTACTAAGCAGCAAGTATGTGTGTTATATGAACTTTATAACAAAAGGTATGCTATAACATACACACTTGCAGGTCTATAAGCCTTGAAAGTATGTCATAACCATTTGTTGTTATGCAGTGTATATACTAGAGGAAACTTGACCATAGCATCTATCTTTGCGCTAAAATCTGCACTACCATTCTTGGAAATTAGGTTTTATTGTATGTCTGGAATTTCTTTTCTATTCTCCTCTGGAAGGCACTTTCTCCAAGACAAGTGCCTTCGTGGACAGCACCTATTTCCCAAGCATATCCATTCAACTGTAAAATGGAAACAATCTTCAGTCTACATGCATATGTCAGTATAGCGTGATAAATTTCCCAATCTTCCTGCCAACAAATGTGGAATTTCCCAAGAATTGGCAAGAGTCGAAGCATGAGGTGTTCTGGTAGGTTTAAGTGGTGGTAAATGAGGTGAAGTGTGGGGTGGTGCAGGTTAAAGTGGGAGTTTACATGATGCAAGGAATTGAAATGCATTGTAATTTCTGGTTGTCTGTGAAGAAGCTTCTACAGAGCCACTATTGGTGGACTTGCAGGCATTTCATGAAATGGAATGGCTCAAGCAAAAGAAGAAAACTAGAAAGAAAATAACAAGACATGCTTTCAGAAAAGTTTTTGTTTTCAAAATTCCAGAAGAAAAATACAAAGAAAAGTTTATTAAAAAATATCTTCTTCCAAGAACAAATAAAAACTTGGATAAACTATTTAAAGGAAAAATTGTCAAAAGTTCTAATTTCAAATTCTTTTATTGGTCTCCATACAAAGTAATGCCTCTGTTAAGCTTTCTTTTAATAACAAACAAGCTAGAAAATAATGATTCCAGTGGGCACTTCCTTGAGATGTGACAACTCAGCTTCACCATTGTTTCTTTTAATCATTTCACATGAAGCAAGGCAATAAAAGCCACTAAGATGCAAGGGGTTACTGAGTGTTAAAGAATATGAGTAAAAAAATAGTATTAAGTTAAGAGAACAATAAAAGAACAAATTAAAAAGGCAGAAGATAACAATCGATATTGCATTTAAATTTTTCAAGATCAAACTTTACTGGAAAGCAAGAAGCCATCAGAAAGTTCTATTAGCACAAAGTGTGATAGAAGAAACTGTTAACATAGAACTTATAGTTACATCTTGACATTTCAACTGTAAAATTATGAGAACTTTTCACTAATTTAGTATTGTGCTTAAATTCATAAAGTCTACGTAACATAAAGGAAAGTTCATCAGATCAGTTACCATAAAAATATTTATGGAAAAGTCACAAGGAAGCAGCATTATGGTGGTGGGAAAGTGATTGAAGCTGAGATGCCAAGTCAGGACCAATAAGATTGTAGAGTATTCTTTGTATCAAGAATCTCTAAATATAGAAGCACCAGTCCAGATGTGGCAGCACTATTCAAAGCATGAGTGGATGGTAGACAAGTGAGATAGATTCTGATGAGAAAAATTGTTTAGCACAACACAGTGAACCAACTTTCCTAGGAACAGACCTAGGAATTGATTCCACATGATTTTTCAACTTCATATCAGTGGAAAATATTACTACTGACTTTCATTTATATTTAATTTCTAAGTGTAGGTGAAAATAAAGAGCTTTGCAGATCATGATGATGAGCATTTGATTCTCCAGCTTCTAAAATCCTCAACTGCTTCCATAGATTTCTCTCTGAATTTCTAGAATGAAGAGTTATCATTATTTACATTAATCAGACATTTGTTCTCGTCTTTGATGTTGTCATATTTCAGATGTTATGCCCTCCAGCATTCATTCTTTCTGTCCAGGTAAAGACCAAGAATTTAAAATTGAATCATTTATTTAACTTTGGGGTGGATAGATTGTTCTTATTTCATTGTTCATGTCTAGAGATATTTTTGCAGGTGGTATGTTGGCCTGTAAACAGATTTTGAATGAGAGAAGACATCATCAAATAAAACAAAGATTTGAGTAAAAAAAATACATTGACAAGTTTATTTTCGTTAAAGAAAATACATCAACAAAAATAAGGTTACAGTGCACAGAGTAAAAAAGATATCTCTGCATGTTCATGTAGAGGGTGAGATGAGTATTGTCCTGAAAAGGACAGTTTTCTTTTTGCTGAAGAGTGTTGTCCTGAAAAGGACAGTTTTGTTGTTGCTGAAGAGTGTTGACCTGAAAAGGACAGTTTTATAGTCACTGAAGAGTGTTGTCCTGAAAAGGACAGTTTTATAGTCACTGAAGAGTGTTGTCCTGAAAAGGACAGTTTTATAGTCACTGAAGAGTGTTGTCATGAAAATGACAGTTTTATAGTCACTAAAGAGTGTTGTCCTGAAAAGGACAGTTTTGTAGTCACTGAAGAGCGTTGTCCTGAAAAGGACAGCATATCATTGCAGCAGGCTGGAACTAATGGGCTGCTGGGGATGTCTTGAATGGTAGCCGATGGCAAACTGAAGATGATGATAGCTATCTGGAACAGCTGCTGATGGCTGGAGCTGTGGTTCAGCTTTTAGCTGCTGGAACAGATACTACACTTTGATCTTAGTCTTCTTAGCCATGGAATGTTGACAGGATACAATGTATTGTCTTATTTTTTTTTAACTGTGCTATCACTCATTCAGACATTGTATGTGCATCAAGTTTTAGAATGTATTTACCCTCAAGTATTTGATCCATTAATGTAACCAGTGAGCTATCAAGTGGTCCAAGGTTGAATCAGATAATCATAAAAATAAATGGCTTATATTCCATTGCCTTTTCACTAGATGGAAGTTGATGCTATTTTAGTAATCAAGACGAACATAATCTTATTTTGTCCTGGAGAGAAAAAGAAAAAATGAAGTGTTTCCTTAGTCGTCAGTTTTTGGAGGTTATTTTTATGGGAATTATCTTCTTGAATTATCAAATAAAAGAGGAGATGGCTATGAACACTTTTTCTCCAGTCTGTTATCTGAAGCAAAAGAAAAATTGTAATAATAAATTTATAATATATATATATATATATATATATATATATATATATATGAATAAAGACAAAGACAATATATATATATTAGTGAATATACATAATATCCAAAGTTGATAGCACGACTCAGAGATTCATGCAAATGTGCAATCCTCAGTATTCTGTACCTGAAGATTGTATGTT